CTTGCGTGACGTCATTTATGACGTCACTAGGGTCATAGGAGTGTTTCGTCAATAACTCCCGATCAAAATGAGCTAGCCATTCGGGACAGCCATCAATGGACTTTGCAAGACTTGCCGAATCAAATGTTATGCAGCATGTCCTCCTTTCAACAGCTTCGTGACCTGCGTTGCCCTAACATGACATTGACCTGAGGTAGACATCCTAAATTGCTTCACCTAAACAAAAAAGCATATAAATCGACGCGTCTGAGAACAGAAAACACGATTGTATCGAAATGACGAAAATGCGTTTAGTTATATACCAAGAACCGATCAAATACCTTGGGGCCCTTGACCTGCCCTAAGAGGTCACTGATATTTTAAAATGAGGTGCCAGTCGCTGCGTCACGTAACGACGCAAGCGCTCTTTTTTTCGCGAGGCTCTAGCAGCTAGCTCAATTATAGGAGCTAAACATGGGGTCGGGGAATCGCTCCCTTCTCACTCAATATTTGGCCGGGATAGTGTTTGCAATTTTTGTTAAAATCTAGCATTTTAAGATTTCAAATGACCCATTTTTTCCCGCCCAAGTCAATTCATATTCGCCCAATTCAAGGTCATAACATCAGGTTACGTCAAGTGAACTTACCTCAAGGAAAGTTCCTGTGCTCATCATATCTAAATACACCGACTAACCGATCGCTTCAGAACTTTCAGCGATTCTAATGGGCAACATTATATGTATTTGAAACGTTTACTTTGCAAGTTTGACATTGTTGACAGAGAGGCCGGGTCAATTTTGAGATCGCTCAAGGCTCAAGTCAATGGGAGAAAATTGAACTGCACTTTTTTGGACGGAACGCATAATAAACACTCTGAAAACAAGTGGTGCTTGATGAGATACAATACTGAATGAGAAAATTGTTTGTTTTGTTGGGGGCCATCTTTTTCGGTCTGAAAAGGCCCTTGCAACAGAACATAACAAGGCCCTACAACTAACCGCCTTTGTTTTAACATCACGGACGGCGCGTATGACACCCACATGCTGCACACTTGTTTTTATTTGGCCCAATCGCTCTGGAATTTCTCAAACTCCCTGACCGGTCAGTGAGTTTGCAAACTCCCTAGTGAATTTGTAAACTCCCTAGTGATTTTGCAAACTCACTGATGGGTCAGGGAGTTTGCAAAACTCCGAGTTTGCAAACTCACGGATTTCTCAAACTCCATATATATATATATATATATATATATATATATATATATATATATATATATATATATATATATATATATATATATATATATATATATATATATATATATATATATATATATATATATATATATATATATATATATATATATATATATATATATATATATATATATATATATATATATATATATATATATATATATATATATATATATATATATATATATATATATATATATATATATATATATATATATATATATATATATATATATATATATATATATATATATATATATATATATATATATATATATATATACGGACTGCCTGCATATACGGACGGACTGCCTGCATCCGGCCTCAAATAAAGCTCTATTCCAGAATGGGAAACCGCCAATCAGCAGCTTGGTACCTAGGTGAATTGGATCAACGTCCGTGTCAAAAAGTCCGCAACTGGCCTTGAAAACATCCCAACATTGATAGACATCTCGCTAAAATAAGTTCCTTGCCCAGTTATCTCTTGATCTGCTTAAAAAGTATTTTGCACTACTATCGCCCGTACTAACATTTCATTGAGCTTAAGTTCCCCTGAACTCAGAAGTATGTTCCAAAATACATCGCTCTTCATTACAGCTCTTTTAATCCACATAACCTTGAGAGCACTATCATATATTGTGACATTTGGCACTTTAAATCTGGTATACATAACAGAGCGTTTGATTTTATCCTGCTTGTTGTTCCAAATAAATCGGAAAAACATCACCTCGAAATCATGAAGACCGACTTCGGCGGAGAAGGCAGTGCATTGAGGATGTGCGTCAACATTGGCAACGCCAGCGTCTTTACTACCGTGCGCTTCCCATAAAAAGATAAACGCCTTCTCAGCCATCCTCTGAGAAGATTTGCAATGTCAACGACCTTCCTTCTCACATTACGTTCTGACATGTCTGTCATTGTTCTGGTAAACTCGATGCCAAGAAGTGTGAATTTTTCAGCAGCAACCAACAGGTCTGTGTTGGCCAAAAAAGCGGGAGACGGCCGGGAACCCATCCAAAACACTTGAGTTTTCTTAGCATTTAAAGTAAGACCTAAAACCTCCCCAAACGCTTGTAGCGTAGTCAAGCAGGCAATCAGGCTTCCCCGTGTACCATCTAAGATAAAAGTCGTGTCATCGGCGTATTGCTCAATTTTACATTCTTTGCCGTCCCTGACCCAGCCTCTAATTTGCGGATTGTTTCTCACCATGATCGCTAAAATTTCAACGCACAAAACGAAAACTAAAGGTGAGCAACAGTCACCCTGTCTACAGCCCCGTTCTACGTTAAAGAATTGAGTCGACGTACCATTTTGGCAAACGGCCGATACGGCCCCTGTAAACATTACCCGGATCCATTTTCTGAAGCTTTCTCCAAAACTGAACTTCTTTGGGACATCCTGAATGAACTTATGATCTAGAGAGTCGAAGGCGCTCTGAAAATCAGCCAACAATAGCATTAGGGTACTTGAATTCTTGGAATGTTTCGCCTCCCACATTACGTCGTACACAGTTCGTGTACACTCACCAATGTAACGTCCTTTCATGAATCCCTTTTGCTCCTGTCCTATCAATTTATCAATAACCAATCGCAGCCGGTTTGCAATCACCCTGGATAGTATCTTAAAAGAGGTATTGAGAAGCGAAATAGGTCGCCAATTTTTAATAAATTCTTTCGGCTTCTTTCCTTTTGGAATCAGTGTAATTATGCCCTGTCTTTGGGAACACGACAGAAGATTCTTGTCGTAACCACTGTTCAATGAGCGAACTAGAAAACCGCTAATCTGCTTCCAGAAGAACTTGAAAAAATTAACACTAAACCCGTCCGGCCCTGGAGACTTATCATTTCGTAACTCGCGTAAGGCTTGGGTGGCTTCTTTTAGAGTTAATAGGCCTTCTAACGTACGAGATTCATCAGAGGTCAATTTTGGATAGTCATCACCAATCTCTTTCTGACAGTGATTAATATTCTTTTGTGCCCGTGCCTTGTAAAGGCTACTAAAGTGAGCCTCTATGCAGTCTAGCACTTTGACATTATCGTTTACCAATTCACCGTCGACATTTAAGCAAGGGATGTATTTTGCAACACTCTGCCTCTTTTCCAGCCCGCAAAAATACTTCGTTGGAGACTCTCCCTCCTGTACCCAGCGGACACACGCCCGCTGCGCCGCACCGGCCAGCTTTATCCGTCGGAGGTCTGAAAGCTCCTGCTGTGCGCAAACCAAACGTTCACGATAGATCTCCCCTTCCCCGAAAAGGCCTTCCAATACTTGCATTTTCAAGAGCCAGTACTTCCTCGCGTCTATCTCTTTCCCGTTTCTTCCGCGCACCGTAGGATATAGTCAGGCCACGAATTTTGCATAGCAAGACTTCAAAAAAGAGTTGATCATCAATAACTAATGCAATATCGTTACTCTCTTCAACTTCATCGCTGGTGTAAAGTGGAAAAGCATATTGTCTTTTAATCTATAAAATCTCTGCATTCACCAAGTCAATGTAGGTGGAGTCTTTCAGCAACGAATTATTAAACTTCCAATAGAGTCCACGTTTACTTTGCATTCCTTCACTTATTAACAATGCTAGTCAGGCTGTGATCAGACCGGTAACCTGGTAAAATAAATGAGCTGGAAACCAGTCTCGACACCGCTAACGAGACCAAACAATAATCTAGTCTTCCAAGTCTGAGAGGGGACGATCGCCTCCAAGTATACGACCTTTTCGTCGCGTGTTGCTCCCTCCACACATCAACCATACCCTCTTTCTCCATAAACTCTAGAATCACTTCCCTGGCCCGGCGGTTACCTTGAGAGACATAGTGTTCAGTGTCCACATTAGGATTTAACGTAACATTCCAGTCTCCTACAATAACAACATTGTTATTATCGATATACCCTATTAAAGAAAACACTGACCTGTAGAAACCTGGGTTATTATCATTAGGACCGTGCAGAACTGCCAGCGTACATCGTCCGGGACCCGCCAGCTCGATATCTAGTATACGAATACTGCATGGGGGAGCGGGCAATAGCAAAAAATATTGCCCGATGTGACGTCACTGTCGCCCGAGGGTGAAGACCGAAACAAGTGCTATTGCCCGAGGCGAAGCCGAGGGCAATAGCACTTATGGAGGTGACCTTTGGTGACCTGACCTGTGACCTGACCTTGTATGACCAGTGACCTCAAATAGCAACATATGTACTAGACAACTGACGCCCTATCGCTGATTTTCGACAAAATGCGTTTTACTCGGTGTTATAGCACTTTCCCTAGAAGCCCCGTGAACGGTGAAACATTTTATCTTTGACCTGACCTGTGACGTCATCGGTGACCCCGAGGTCAATGAAATTTGGTTTCCCTCGACAAATTTGACAGGGTTATCAAACGCCGTTTGAATTTTCCGGATCCGTCCAGTAGTTTCGGAGATACGGGGGGGGGGCAAAAAATGCCCCCCACCGCGCGGAAGGTGGCCGGGAGGCCCACCGCCTGCCGGGTTAAGAACGGCTGGGGCGATTGCGCACAAATTTGGCACAATGCTCTAGACCGGTCATTGGGGTGCCGTGCACAAGTCAGTTGGAAGAACCCTCTCGCACTTCCGCACGTGCAGGGCTCACTCTGTCGCCCGCTCGCTCTTCGCTCAAAAGGCGTTTTTACCGGTTTAATTAATTAGGAAGGCCATATTCTCCTTAAGGTCATACCAATGTCATAGTCATGGATCGTGATATGTGTATAAATTACATTAACTTCTACTGTTTTTTTTTTTTCAATTCCAGAGTTATGTTCCGGCTCTTTATGGGTATGCCTCTTGGGACGCCTGACGAAAACAACAACAGCCATGTAGGGTAAGTAAGAATTTATGACCTTTCCTCGTAAAATATAAATTAGCAAAAAGGATATATTGATATTGATATTTCGATCACAGATCTTCGTCGGAATTGTTAACAAAAGACAGAATAAGAATACATTTCTTGTCTGCTCCTTTCTTTATCTCCTATTTCACTATTCGTTATCACGAGCAATTAAATCTAAAGTACATCCATTTTTCAAATCATGATAACTTTTAGTCGACATACGAATACAAGTAACTGAAATTTGTTAAGCCTAATTAACAAACTTCTTACATTAGAAAATACAAATCAAAATCCTAAATTGGCGCACTGCATTCTAACACTCATCTACATAAACGAGACAGGTACATCCAGTGACACACATCCATACACTTACATAATAGGCCAAGACGATACATTCGAGTTCAGTTCCGGTCTGCGTTTTCTAATCAAAATAGACTCTGCGATTTTGCGATCTGGGTGATCCGTTGCCCTATATAGCACTGACACACTTATGCTATAAGGAATGTCCCTGGCATCTGGGTGAACATTTCCAAAGTGATCACCCATAGGGGTGTCTGGTTTGTTGCCAATGGCGTCTCTCACATGTTCATTGTACCTAAGCCGTATCGGGCGTTTCGTTTCTCCTATGTACTGTGCACTGGTCGTTCCTGCACCACACAGTTTACATGTTAACATGTAGACTACATTCTTTTGTGTACACTGGCCTGTGAACCCACTCTTGCACAAATTACACCTATTTCCCCCTGGACAACGAGGTTTGCTAAATGCTGAACGAACTAAACGTTTTTTTTAACTTCATATCATTTCGCCAAGCCAGCTTTACATTGAGTCCGGATTTCTTAATAATGCTGTTCACTTTGCACAGTAAATGCTCATCGATGTATGGCAAAGTCAAATAACCGTCATCCCCCGCCTTCTGTGTGTTCCCACGTTTTTGTTTTGTCCGTTTGTCGTTTTGTACCTCTCTGAGGAGCCTCTTGAGTAGATTACGTGAATAACCATTTTTTACCAGTAAAAGACGGATCTTTTCCACACTGGAGGCTCCCTTAGCTTTGCTAGAGGAAAGGTTCAGCGCCCTGCGAAACATGCCCCTGATCATGTTGTGTTTTGTTGAGGTGGGATGTGCCGAAGTGGCATGCAAGACAATGCCCGAATTCGTCGGTTTTATGTACAGTTCTGTCTCTACTTAAGCTGTCTGGTTTCCATTCGACTCTACCGTTACATAGGTGTCTAAGAAAGGGACCCCTTTTCCGTTTTTTGAGTGATCTAGGGTGAATTTCAACTTTGGGTGCAAGCCATTGAGCTACGTCAGAAAGTTGAACAGCTCCTCCTCTCCATGATTCCATATTCCGGCAAAATCATCTATGTATCTAACCAAAAAGTCTGGTTTGAGCGCCGCACCTGTCAGAGCTTGTTGTTCAAACTTGTCTAAGAAGATGACTGCTAAAGGCGGAGCGCACGGGTTGCCCATAGCGATGCCCTGCTTTTGCCTGAAGAAGGCATCTCCAAACGAGAAGACATTGTTGTGTAGGCATTGATCCAGTAGAGCACATATGTCCTCCTTGCTTAGACCAAATGTTTCAATCCCCCCCGCGTGAGCTTCTAACTTTTCTTTGGCTGCTTGAATGGCCTCCTCTACAGGTATGCTCCCATACAGATTTACTACATCTATACTGAAGAAGATGGACCCTGTCGGAAGTGACTGTCTTTGACAGTGATCATTCATTCTTTTCAAAAAATCGTTAGTGTCACAGAGATGAGTTGGAATGAACGCTAAAAGCTGCTTTAATATTCTCTCGAGAAGGCAAGCTGTCTTTTCGGTAGGCCCACCCGAGCCTGAAACTACTGGGCGCAATGGAACTTCGGGCTTATGGTCTTTAGGAAGGCCGTAAAAAACTGGAGTTCTGCTATGCATGGGCGTTAGATCTTCCACGTTTTTCTCTGAAAGTTTATCTTTAGCTACCGCCTTGAATACCTGTTTAGTCTTCGCTTCCACCTGCGGAACTGGATTTTTCGGCAACTTTTCATAACTCTCATTGTCATTTAAAATCGTCTCAACTTTATCCTTATAATCCTCCCTATCCATCAGAACGAATTTTCGTTCAGCGCGTGCATCTCTGCCGCAGGCTGGCCGAGGCCGGCGCCGAGCAGAGAGCACGCGCGGTAGGCTCAGTTGTTCGCTTAAAAAACTGAGTGAAAAGCATCAGAGCCGGGAGGTCGTTGACCTTTGACAACGAAGGCCGACACAAGGCACCGCTCGCCAAGAGGATTCGCCAGTAAATACAATTAATTTGTTTTTGCAATAACTCAGCCGTTTCTGGGCCGAGTTAGCTGAAACTTGGACTGTCAGTGGTAGTGTAGTGTAGTGTAGTGTAGGGTAGGGTAGGGTAGGGTAGGGTAGGGTAGGGTAGGGTAGGGTAGGGGTAGGGTAGGGTAGGGTTAGGGGTAGGGTAGGGGTAGGGTAGGGTAGGGTAGGGTAGTGTAGTGTAAGGGTAGGGTAGGGTAGGGGTAGGGTAGGGTAGGGTAGGGTAGGTTAGGGTAGTGTAGGGGTAGGGGTAGGGTAGGGTAAGGTAAGGGTAGGGTAGGGTAGGGTAGGGTAGTGTAAGGGTAGGGTAGGGTAGGGTAGGATATGGTAGGGTAGGGTAGGGTGGGGTAGGGACTAGGGGTAGGGTAGGGACTAGGGGTAGGGTTTGGTAGGGTAGGGTAGGGTAGGGTAGGGGCAGGGTAGGGTAGGGTAGGGTAGGTAGGGTAGGTTAGGGCAGTGTAGGGGTAGGGGTAGGGTAGGGTAGCGTAGGGCAGGGTAGGGTAGGGTAGGGTGGGGGTAGGGTAGGGTAAGGGTAGGGTAGGGTAGTGTAAGGGTAGGGTAGGGTAGGGGTAGGGTAGGGTAGTGTAGGGTTAGGGGTAAGGTAGGGTAGGGTAGGGTAGGGTAGTGTAAGGGTAGGGTACGGGTAGGGAAGGGTAGGGTAGGGAAGGGTAGGGTAGTGTAGGGGTAGGCCTAGGGGTAGGGGTAGGGTAGGGTAGGGTAGGGTAGGGTAGGGTTGAATTGAGTAACATCCTAATTCTTACAAAGGGCTCGAACAACTCGCATGCATTACCATCATGCTTTACAGTTCAATTAAAAGCAGTTACCCAGTTCTACACAAATAATATACCAATAAATATGCAAGTTTCTACACCCAAACTAATGCATCCGTTAATCATGCATATCAAAACATACAGTTATCGCGTAAACCTGTTGTACAGTAGGTCTACTAAAAAAGTCCCCCGCTCCAGAGGCGGCCGGCCGGCCGAACCCCCGGATTCCAGCCCCGACTCTATTGCGCAGGCCGCGGCAGCGACACGGGTCAGGTCGCGGCGCCCGGCGAGTGGGTCAGTTGGCGGCGGCCGGCCGTGGAGTGAGGACGCCGTGTGTGGGGCGCAGAGATGCCGCAGTGCAGAGGAGGGGAAGATAATGACTCTACACAATGTCGGAAATGATGCCTTTGTGATCTAAATTAAACACCTGCAGTGCATATCCTCCCTTGCCCCATTCCTGTTTTATCATAATCCTTCAATAATCTGTAATGGCCATTCAGCGCAAGCAAGCAAACAAAACAACCCGTTTAGCGGCGACATCATCTCGGATAAAAAAGCGACAGTGATGATTAGAATAGACTTAGCGCGAGGGCAAATCGAGGGTATAACTATATGTATCACATACCGAGTATTTTATTCCCATCTAGCGAATTAAGATTGGGGATCTTGTCCAACAAGTCAGCGGCCGTTCTAGACACAGAATAATGCTTTGCTTTTGGTCACATCATTATCTGCAATAATTCGAAGCGAGGTTTAACCCTCGCCGGCCGAGAAAAGGGTGGATGCCGCCACCATCAGACTTGTAAACGACTCAATTTTTTTGAGTCGATTCTTTGTTTGAGTCTGGAAATTTGAATCGATTCATCAAACGACTCATGATGTTAAATTTAATTGATTCGAATCAACTCATGACTCATCAAGTTCCTCGATAAAATAATTCGAATCAACTCATGACTCGAGCAACTAGCCAACGGAATGATTCGAATCAACTCATGACTCACACATTTTGATGAATCGATTCAAATCAACTCATGACTCACACGACATTTTTATTGAACTTATTTCATTCAACCCATGACTCACTATAGGCATTTGTTGATTATTTGACTCAAAGCTATATGATAGATGAATATGTCGCATACCACAATTGTATTAAGCGGCATAGTAGCCTTGACCAAAGATTCAAGCAGCTACCTAGTAGGACTAGGTACATAGGTAACTACTTTGGCAAACATGGTTGATGCAGTTTCCAGTTCCTAAGTCCCAATTCCACTTTTGAATTCTAATATTCCTGCAGATTGGGCTACCTATTCTGTAGCATACTGGTCACTGGTCAGTCTTGCTTCAATTTCTTATCTTGTCACCTACAACAAAGCAAACAAGTTCTAACTGCAAGCAGTCCAGAAAATAGGTACTTCAATGTTTGTACACATCACTTCCATTCAGTTTGCTGTACACACCCAACAATATTTTGGGCTCTAGAAATCGAATACCAATAACATATGTAGGTAAGTATGACTGAAATCCATTTATAATGGACACAAATCCAATTGAAGCAAGGCTGACCAGTTGCAAATCTTACCTGCCTTTTCAAAGACATTGACATACCAATTACCAAAGTCACTGTGCCCACCGGAAGTCGCAGTTCATGTCTGATACCCATGGCCTTGGTTTGATATTTAAATGCATTTCATAACTCAATCAGCTTTGAAATTATTTCTATCTGTATGATGAATGAATCTAAGGCATTCTCCAGAAGCCGTGATATTGAACAGATTTTTAGCCAACTGGCGCCGCATGGTGGCGCTAGCAGAGCGTATAACACTAGCGCTCTACTAGCGCCATCATACGGCAACAGCTGGCAAATAACTGAGTCAATACCAATACCATTCTCCAAGGCCAATGGTTCCGTGTTGATATGAAAACGGCGCATTTGAGCGTCATATATGCTAAGCCTTACGCACGCTAATCTACTGCATAAAGGTAACAATTTGGAACACGATCAGGAAGAGGACAAAGTCTCCACTCTAGCACATACTAAACGCCTAATGACATTGATACAAAGACCCCGAATGCATTGACGAGTAAATGTGCATCAGGAACGGATTTTCCTACTTGTTCATCATAGTGATACGTTTGTAATACGCAATTACTCTGCTCATGGATCCCAGCTCAAAGACGCTAAGATCAAAATCAGGTCAGTCCCAGAAACTTTGGTTTTTATTCCATATCTAAGTACTAACAACAAATTGTAGTTTGTTTTCTACGTTAATGAATTGGCACTAAGTCATGATCGCAACCTTGCGGTACTTTAATGCCATTTCGATTTTGCAGTACTTTAACGTCAACAAAATTTTGCAGTGTTTTAACGCCTGTGTGTCTTGCTATTGGTGTCGACAT